CATTTCTCAATCCACGGCTCCTTTTGGCAGTCTCCGCATGTTCTGAGGTGAATTGTGCTCTTTCTGGAGGTAATACAAAACTGCTGTGTTGGGTTGTGTCTGGACAGATACACAAACAACAACAACTTGGCTCCACTCGTGCATGTGCGGTTGGTGGTGGTTGGAGAGGCTGATGACACAGATTAGTTGCCGTGTTGCCTCGTCTACTTCAGGGCAGCTATGACTACATGAGTATTTTATTGCTCCTTGCAGATGCAGCGATGATGATGTAGGAAAATTAATGTCATTTATGGACATTTATTAACATGGATATCGGTCATCCGCTCCCTATAGACCAGTTTTGTATTACCTCATTTCTGTGTTTGAACGGTTTTATTCTCTGATCTGTGTCCCCCGAGAAGACTACTGTTGTGATTTAGAGCTATACAAATGATATAATTTAATTATAAACAAGTTTTGACAAATGATTGTATAGTAGTCAAGCAGGAGTTTTTTGAGTTGTGTAACTACTCTTTTATTTTGCAACTCAGTGGGCATTGAGACAACCCATCCATCCATTTTCCCCTTAATCCATTTCTGAGTCGGGTCGGGCAATCAGAGGAGCCACCCAAGTCACATAGCACCAGCCCGTCACTGATCCTTCTGCAGGATGGCTGCTCTGTTAGTGTGAGCTTAGCCTTGATCTTTCAGTGGGGGTTTTGGGAAAAGTGGGGTTAAGTGGGGTTAAGTGTCTTGCCCAAGGACACAATGGCAGCAGACATAAGTGGGAGTAGGTGGAGAAGGTGTCGAGGTGGGAATTGAACCCACGACCTTCAGGCCTGAAGGCCAATGCTCTACCAACTGAGCTACTGTCGCCAGAGCATTGACCTTCAGGCCTGAAGGCCAATGCTCTACCAACTGAGCTACTGTCGCCCTTACAACAACGGTGTTCATGAAAATGGAGGAGGCCTTTGTATTGAAACTGTTTTAGTTGATCGATTTCCGAGCTGGAGGAAGTGCAGATAGGGAAGTGTGGGCGTCTCTGCTTAGACTGCTGCCCCCGCGACCCGGTAACGGATGAAGCGGAAGAATGAATGGAAGGGAATGGATTTCACAGTGTCAATTGTTTTGCCTGTTTTTAAAATTTATTTCTGTACTTGTCTTGTGCACACTAGGGACTTTTGCGGATGTATTCCAGTGTGGTTTCGCTGCAAATGGCAAAAATCTGAATCTGAATGTTGCATCCACTCACGGTCACTGTGATCAGATTCCTGTATTGTGCAGTTTTCTATGTCGTTATATGTCATATTTTCCCTTCAGATGTACTCTATGATCTGTGCTTTTGCATTGCTTCTGAGACCAGGCCTGATTGGATTTTCTCAAGGTGAAAATATAAAAATACTGTTAGACATTGAGAACTCACTTATGACCTTTTTGCTGCTCCTATCCCTGCTTCCATTTAACCTCCTGGATCATTTGTGTTCATAAGGAGATGAGCGCAGTTACCTTCCACCAGCCTCAGGGTCAGAATGTTACGCCTGAAAGAATGGTTCCTCCCGGTTTTGGACAGAGTGTTTCCATTGTAAGGATGAGGAATGGCATGTGGTGGTGGTTTTGGCCCCGCTCCACAAACGGGAGAGGCAGAAGGACTTTTGACGTCATCAGGAAACGTGACCCATTTCTCAGGAGCCAGGAGCCGCGGGCCAATCCAGCAGATGTTGCACAGATGAGCCTTTATGCATACACACGCACGCACACACACACACACACACGCACGCACGCACACACACACACACACACACACACACACACACACACATGTATAATGTGTGGCAACATGAAACACTTTGCACACTGCTACTTTTCTTGACTCGGTTACATTGAAATATGAATTTATTCCTCATATGGTGTTTGAGATGTATACAGTGCCTTGCGAAAGTATTTGGCCCCCTTGAACCTTTCAACATTTCGCCACATTTCAGGCTTCAAACATAAATATAACATTTTAATTTTTTGTCATGAATCAACAACAAGTGGGACACAATCGTGAAGTGGAACAACATTTATTGGATAATTTAAACTTTTTTAACAAATAAAAAACTGAAAAGTGGGGTGTGCAATATTATTCGGCCCCCTTGCGCTAATACTTTGTAGCGCCACCTTTTGCTGCAATTACAGCTGCAAGTTGCTTGGGGTATGTCTCTATCAGTTTTGCACATCGAGAGACTGGAATTCTTGCCCATTCTTCCTTGCAAAACAGCTCGAGCTCAGTGAGGTTGGATGGAGAGCGTTTGTGAACAGCAGTCTTCAGCTCTTTCCACAGATTCTCGATTGGATTCAGGTCTGGACTTTGACTTGGCCATTCTAACTCCTGGATACGTCTATTTGTGAACCATTCCATTGTAGATTTGGCTTTATGTTTTGGATCATTGTCCTGTTGGAAGATAAATCTCCGTCCCAGTCTCAGGTCTTTTGTAGACTCCAACAGGTTTTCTTCCAGAATGGTCCTGTATTTGGCTCCATCCATCTTCCCATCAATTTTAGCCATCTTCCCTGTCCCTGCTGAAGAAAAGCAGGCCCAAACCATGATGCTGCCACCACCATGTTTGACAGTGGGGATGGTGTGTTCAGGGTGATGAGCTGTGTTGCTTTTACGCCAAACATATCGTTTTGCATTGTGGCCAAAAAGTTCGATTTTGGTTTCATCTGACCAGAGCACCTTCTTCCACATGTTTGGTGTGTCTCCCAGGTGGCTTGTGGCAAACTTTAAACAAGACTTTTTATGGATATCTTTGAGAAATGGCTTTCTTCTTGCCACTCTTCCATAAAGGCCAGATTTGTGCAGTGCACGACTGATTGTTGTCCTATGGACAGACTCTCCCACCTCAGCTGTAGTTATCTGCAGTTCATCCAGAGTGATCATGGGCCTCTTGGCTGCATCTCTGATCAGTCTTCTCCTTGTTTGAGATGAAAGTTTGGAGGGACGGCCGGGTCTTGGTAGATTTGCAGTGGTCTGATACTCCTTCCATTTCAATATAATTGCTTGCACAGTGCTCCTTGAGATGTTTAAAGCTTGGGAAATCTTTTTGTATCCAAATCTGGCTTTAAACTTCTCCACAACAGTATCTCGGACCTGCCTGGTGTGTTCCTTTGTCTTCATGGTTCTCTCTGCGCTTTAAACAGAACCCTGAGACTATCAAAGAGCAGGTGCATTTATACGGAGACTTGATTACACACAGGTGCATTCTATTTATCATCATCGGTCATTTAGGACAACATTGGATCATTCAAAGATCCTCACTGAACTTCTGGACTGAGTTTCCTGCACTGAAAGTAAAGGGGCCGAATAATATTGCACGCCCCACTTTTCAGTTTTTTATTTGTTAAAACAGTTTAAATTATCCAATAAATTTCATTCCACTTCACGATTGTGTCCCACTTGTTGTTGATTCATGACAAAAAATAAAAATTTTATATCTTTATGTTTGAAGCCTGAAATGTGGCGAAATGTTGAAAGGTTCAAGGGGGCCGAATACTTTCGCAAGGCACTGTAAAGCCACAGTTGCCCCGGGACAGATGCAATACTCTGCACATGCTTAAACAGGCAAATATGGAACAGTGGTGTTTTTCTCACGGATACAATGACTGTAGCTGTTCTGGTAATGGTCAGCGGACCATTGAGTGGATAGCACTCTCGCCTCTCAGCAAGAAGGTCCTGGGTTCGAATCCCGGTCGGACCAGGGCCTTTCTGAGTGGAGTTTGCATGTTCTCCCCGTGTCTGCGTAGGTTTCCTCCGGGTACTCCGGTTTCCCCTACCTCTAAAAATATGTCCAATAGTTCTGGCATGTGCCTCCTGTACTGGCGACCCCGCTCCCATCTCTGTGAGGAGTGAGAGACAAATGCCCATAATTAACAATTGTAAACCGCTTTGAGACTCAGATCTGCAGTGAAAAGGCGGTATATAAATAAAAACTTACTTACTTACTTACTTACATTTTGAGTCGGTAGTAAATACGCACAAACACATCTGACCTGCAAAAACGGCATCAAACTACGTCTAATTCAACTCAATTCAACAATCTCCTGGTATCGGCATGGAAAAACTCTAAAAAGATTGAGAGAGGAATCCACTCCCACAACCTGGTATTGTACTAGTCCTTCTCAAACATGTTTATTTGATTCACATGAAATACAAGTGTTCTTTGAAACACCTTTAATAAGCATTACACTTCTGCGGGGAGATCAGTGCATAGAAACAGTGGACTTTACAGCTTTTAGATTTGACATAAGTGAGAACACATGATGCCACTCCTCCTGCCTTGGAAAAGTGTAAATTTCAATAATAAGTAACATTTAAAGGATTTCTGGCAAATTAGCAATACAGAGGGGAAACTGAAACTCAAAGGCTGAATTTGTGGAGTTCAAAGTCTAAACTATTTGTATTTACACTATGCACTTTTCATTTGCGCGTTTACCTTGTGTATATAACTTAGAACTAAATGATAAGATAAGATAAGATAAGATAAGATAAACCTTTATTAGTCTCACAGTGGAGAAATTTCAAGTTTCAAGATGTTCAGTTCATCCCATAATTCCATTCCCTCCTAAGAAAATAAGAGGATTATACATTTTTGAAACTTGCTCTGGGCGATTCAGCAAACAGTTAATCACACTTATTCCAAACTTATATAAAGCAATTCCTTAAACTCAAGGTATTGCGCGACATAAGTCAATATGGGGAAAATGAATGGAACTGATAATGTCAATGTTGGCGAATCAACAGTTTTGTTGATTCGCCACTTTGTCTCAGTACTCTGAGATAGCTAGTGTTGTGATTTAGGGCTAATCAACAATAAAAATGTAGATTGAATTAAATCCATAAAGCATGCCATATAGTGCTCCTTTTTAGTAAGAGGGCCAACAAGTTAACCAGACTTTTACAGGGACTGACAACACGGATTAAAAAGGCAAGAGCAGCATCAGAAACCTCTAACATCATAGAAAAAACAAAATCATCAATCTCATGACTCTATGTATTTCTCGATGAAGCACTGAGAGCAGAGGAGCATTGGACACTTCTGGTTTGGGTCAGGAGTGCAGAGCTGGGCCAGGAGTGCAGAGCTGGGCCAGGAGTGTAGAGCTGGGCCAGGAGTGTAGAGCTGGGACTGGAGTGCAGAGCTGGGCCAGGAGTGTAGAGCTGGGACTGGAGTGCAGAGCTGGGCCAGGAGTGTAGAGCTGGGACTGGAGTGCAGAGCTGGGCCAGGAGTGTAGAGCTGGGCCAGGAGTGCAGAGCTGGGCCAGGAGTGCAGAGCTGGGCCAGGAGTGCAGAGCTGGGCCAGGAGTTCAGAGCTGGGCCAGGAGTTCAGAGCTGGGCCAGGAGTTCAGAGCTGGGCCAGGAGTTCAGAGCTGGGCCAGGAGTTCAGAGCTGGGCCAGGAGTGTAGAGCTGGGACTGGAGTGTAGAGCTGGGCCTGGAGTGTAGAGCTGGGACTGGAGTGCAGAGCTGGGCCAGGAGTGTAGAGCTGGGACTGGAGTGCAGAGCTGGGCCAGGAGTGTAGAGCTGGGACTGGAGTGCAGAGCTGGGCCAGGAGTTCAGAGCTGGGCCAGGAGTGTAGAGCTGGGACTGGAGTGTAGAGCTGGGCCTGGAGTTTAGAGCTGGGACTGGAGTGCAGAGCTGGGCCTGGAGTGTAGAGCTGGGCCTGGAGTGCAGAGCTGGGTCAGGAGTGCAGAGCTGGGCCAGGAGTGCAGAGCTGGGCCAGGAGTGCAGAGCTGGGCCAGGAGTGTAGAGCTGGGACTGGAGTGCAGAGCTGGCCCAGTTTGACGCAGACGGGACCGTGCGTCAGAAGGCAGTTTATGGGTGCTTTTTGTTCTAGTGCCTGATGGAGCCAATCTGTGCTGTTACGTAAGGCCCAGAGTGAGACGAGGTGAGGGCTTTTGGAACAGCAGCCTGGGACAGCGTTTAATGGGCACATCCGGATCCAATGGAAGTTAGATCACTGTCTGCAGCCTGGATGTTTTATTGATGTCGGTGGCAATCCCTTCCTAAGTTTACATGCAGCCGTGAGGGCATTTGATAATTACCTTTGACGAGTGAAATTATTCTTTTAACCAATATAGAATCCCATATTTGCAGCACTAAATTGACCAATAACAATATTTTTTTATTTTTTTATTTTTTGACACACAGCAATAAACTTTTCATTATAGTCATGTTATGGACACTTCTTTCATTCACATGATTTTTTCTGTCGTGTTAATGTTGTGACCCATTCAAACCAATGGAATTTTGAGAAATGTCCCCTAACCCTAACCCTAACAGATTATTTATAAGTAATTTACTCACTTTTACGAAATACTAAAACAGGTTTTTGAAAGACTAAATGATAACTACTGTCAGTGTGTTGCTATAGTAACCAGCACTGCATTTCGAAAGTGATTATGACAGATATAAACTACAAAAAGAGAAATTCATGTTCTTGAAACCCTGCATCCTCAATATATGTACTTTTAGTGTGGTTGAGTGTCTTTCAGGACGCAGGAAAGAATTTGGACTTGTTTTGCTCCATCAACATTTGTTGCAACGTCACAATCGCTCACAGCAAGAAGGTCCTTGGTTCAAATCGATGGCGGAACAGGGCCTTTCTGAGTGGAGTTTGCATGTTCTCCCTGTGTCTGCGTAGGTTTCCTCCACTAAAAACATTTACAATAGGTCTGCGCCTCCTGTACGGCGACCCCGCTCCCATCTTTGTGTGGAGACAAATGCCCACAATTGTAAAACGCTTTGTGACTCTGTGAAAGACGCTATAGAGATAAAGATTACTTTCTTAATTACGCACTGGTACACATAATAATCAAGGCAAGACAAGTTTAGTGTTGTGTTTTATTCAAGAGTCTGTTTTATTGCAAGAAAAAATAAGTTCTGCAATATCTGAACATTTTGCAAGTTTATTGTTGACCCCAGATAACCACAGTCAGGGCTTTTATTATTAAAACGGACACATATTCAGACTCACAAGACGGACAAAGACTTGAACTTTCCTGCCCGACTGTGTCAACGCCAGCATAGATTGTGGAGTGTGCGTAAATGTAGTGACATAAGCGGCACATTCGAAGCCTCTGTACGAGTCGCGCGTCGTGACGCCGGTGCTTCGTTAGCGCCGGTTTGATTCAGTCTCGTTTCGTGGAGCTGATATTGTTTCGCCTAATCTGCTTTTGCACCAAACCTGATCCAGACATGAGGATTTGTGTTGTAAGCGATCCATCAGCTATGTCATCCGAGGGTAAGAAGTTCAAGCATTTTGTGTAATTTCATTTTGTTCAATCCAATCAAGAGAAAGGTGGCTGTTGCGCATGAACCTGTTTCACTCTGACTCAATGCATCACTTTGAATATACATGGTTTTATAATGGAATCGTATTTGCTTTTTAAAATATAGTCGAAAAATAATACGCTGTCGTGTGTGGTAGTGTGCCGTTTGTGTCATTTTAAAATCTGTGCAGCACTTATGTGTTGGTGAAATGTAGAAAAAAAGTTGGATTGGGCCATTATATTATGACCAATTTCCTCTTGGCGTAAAGGCTATAGAGATGTTTGAGACATTTCTAACTAGATTCTGTAGATTTTACTAAACATGTCTTTTGCAGGGGGTCCAAGGACGGTGGTGATGATCCGGGACATTTAAGGACATTTAGGGACATACTGTATTTTTTTACATTTATGGACATTGGAGGATTTATTTATTTATTGTTGTGTGTCAAAAATGAGAGATAGATAAAATACAACATATTGTTATTGGTCAGGGCAGCACCGCAAATATCGGATTTTAGTTTTGGCTAAAAGAATCATTTTACTTTTCAAGCTATATAAGAAAACTTGAATTGAACATCAAATACATTTAAAGATGCAGTCAGTGATTTTAGACGCATTTTTTCAATATTGTGGGAAAACGTCCCTAAACCCTAAAAGTAGTCAAGTTTTCATGTGTTTTCAAATAGTAATGGAATTGACCAGATGCCCACAGTCTCCAACAATTAATAAAGAATATTTTGGAGTGGACCGATAAAACTAAACCAATGGGATTCGTTCATCCCCAACGAACCAATGGGATGCCTTTACCCCCTTCACCCTCTTCCTGTTTCTCGCCAGTGCCCGCACCTGAATTATCGGATTTTCTAAAACTTAAAATGGCTGAACAGGAAATGCCCACTTCACGTTTCCCTCGTTTCTCCCTGTTGTGACAAAGAAAAGAAAATGCTTAATTTTTGTTTTTTTGGAAAGGCGAGGGGAGGGGGGAGTGGTTTCCAGTTGGTGCTACGGCTAAGCTAACAAAATGGCTTACCGCACCTTTAATTTGTCACTTTTATACTTCTAGCCCCAACCTTCTCTTATGTTTTTAATTCAGCCCCTGACCAAAATGAGTTCGACACCTCTGCTATAGGTTGATTTTGCTTGTGAAAAATCCAGCCATGTTTTACACCCATAAACCATGTGGAACAGGCCTTCGTATGTTGCCGTAGTCGACCTGAGCTCCCTTAAAACATGTCTGGGGTGATTGACAGGTTGAGAGCAGCGGCCGATCGAAGGAAACACAAACATTCGTACACTTTCACACTCTCTCACACAGGGGCATCAGTGAGCGTGGCCCACATCTTGAGAGAGCTCTTTTATTTACAAACCTGACGCCTGAATGTTTGGGCCAATTCAGGGCTGGACACATGAAAAGGGTCGCATGCCAGCTTGTTTTGAGTGAGTGTAAGATTTCCATCATCGGGACACACGCTGCACCAGACCTGCTCCGAACCGCACAAGTCTGTGAACGTCTGCTGTAGATTCAATGTCAAAGCTAATGTGGTACTAATGGAGATTTTGCTTCATGTTTATAATAATGTCCCAGTCCTACCGAATTCATAGATAGATAGATAGATACTTTTTTTGATCCATTCAGGTGTCCAGTAGCAGAAACACATCTAAAAGTTACAAACAACAGTAATAATATGCAACAGTATTTTATGTCACAGCAGCAGAGGTGGTGCAGCCGCTGGTGATGAGCTGCTTCCTCTCTTCTGGTTGATGTAGACAGAGTCTTACTGCAGTAAGATTTTACTTTGACCTACAGCCATCGTTGTGCTCATGGGGAAAGTGGTTTTCACTGACAATGAACTTTGGTACAATCCATTTGAAAAACATTGTAGTTTTGGTTTAACAGTGATGTCTGAGGCATACAAGTGGTGTCCTCTTAAAATAATGATCATGCTAGAAATGGCTTCTGCTTCTGCTATTTGATAAATATATAATGTGTAATAGTTAGCTCGATGTCCCATAAGTCATATCTACATTTGAATGTACAGTGTAATAATGTATATTACACTGTAATAAGAAATAGTACATTGCAATTTCTCCTGGCAGCCTCATTATGGTCTCATATGGATCGTAAAAGTCAATTTTGCACAACACTATGTAGGAGTGTATGAATGCATTGTGTGGTATTATTGTTAGAATGGGGCGGAGCGATAGATAAGGGTCCAAAAAGATAAGGGTCCACTGAACCGTATAGCATTGTTAGAAATAAACCGTAGCAAATTGAAAGTCCCCTGTATCTCGATACATATCATATCGTATGGTATGGACCTGGGAAAAATCTCCGGCCCTCAGAGTATGCCTCACTCATTCCTCACACTTTCTCAGAGAGCAGCTGGAGCCAAAGACACTGCCGTTGCTCTCAAAAAGAAGTCCTTTAGATCGATTTTGACAGACCAAAGCGCAATATGTCTTCCTTAATTTGATTTCCGTGGCCCTCCATGCTCTGTTCTCACGGAGCAAAGCTGCGACACACATAGACACATTCCAGGAATGGTTCCAGGAAAGTGGCATCTGTGCGGCGCATTATCTGAGGATGAGACCTCTGTGGCCGTCACATATATGGCGGTCATCTGTGGACGGGAACCATAAGAGGAGGTCACGTTTGAAAGTCGCACACAAAGATACAGTCAAAGTTCAGAGATATCTAATAAAAATCACTATTTGGATATCTCAAAGAGTGCAAAAAGTGCATATCCTGTTTTATATTATTGTGGCCATACATACATGTGAGAAGCTAAGCAGGCCAGGGCCTGGTTACTACTGGGATAGGAGACCTTTGGGAACACCAGGTGCCAATGTGGGTCGGCTGTAAAGTGCCAAACTGTTGTTGTGTCCACTTGATCCATATCCTAGTAGAAGTCTGAGGTGTGAGTTATGATATGTTGGTTGGAGAGGCCAATGGCACAGGAGGAGCAGTCTTTCTTTTTTCAGTGTGACCCAGGGCAGCTGTGGCTACACTAGCAGTTTACCACCACTTTGTATGGAGTCCTTCTAATTACAGTGGGGTCCCTGCTTAACAATGTTTTTTTTCTCCATATTTTGATAGTTTTATAATTGTTATTCTAGATGTATTCAATTTATTCTTGTATAGCCCTAAATCACAACTGTAGTCATCAAATATATATGTCATTTTAGTTTTTTTCTTATGTGACATAGAATATGTAAGAAATGAAAATGATCTAGATTGATCAAAAGAAAGCCATTTAAGTCATCTGGAGCCAAACACAATACAGTGAAGCGAAGTATAGTGTTTGTTATTAAAACGCCATGAAATAACGCCTGTTTGAATCGATGTTGTGTCCAATTTAGGCATTTACTATTCTCCTATCATTCATGCTAGTCATAAATGTATTTAATACCATTTGTATTGCTTTATTTATGTATGTGGTGTGGGAGGTTTTGGTTTAGATCCACTACCTTAAATGTCCAGTTGGGGGCGCACATCAGGGGGTGGAGTTAGCTTGGATTCATAGACAAACAGTTTTTTAGTGCACTACTGCATTTAGAGATACATTTCATACTTATTCGTTTTTTTGGTGATTCGTTCACTTGATAAATCTTGTGGACAGTTGCGGAACAATCCCCCAATTGAATCCCCCAAATCATATCTCTAAGTCTAGACATCCATCAGTTTCTCACCTGCACGTCAATCACAAGCTAAGGCCAAGGCTAACAAAGATACGACAGTGGAATTGTTGGTCACTAAATTGAGTTTAACCATAGTTTTAACACAGGGATGTCAAAGTCAAATACATCAGAAGACCAAAAAATAAATAAAATAATAGTTACAAGCCGCCGGCCAGACTGGTTCAAGTTTTATTAGGACATATTCAAATGATTGCATATAACCTATTGAACCAAGACCTAACACAGTGTACCTTATTTTATCTAATGATTAAATGAATAATATTTTTTTTCTTATGGTTCTGCACGGGCTGGTTCTAACACTAACCAAATATCATCCCGAGTGACCGAGGTAATTCATTTGCGGGCCGGATCTGGCTCCAGGGCCTTGACTTTGACACCCATGTTTTAACACGTCCATTCACCACAACCCTGGAATAGAGACTTTACAGCAGCAGCAGAGACCACCTTGTCAGAGCGAACACTGAAAATTCTTTGTTTTGCGAGTGGCTGGACTTTCAGACCCTGCAGCTGCGATTCATTAATTTACTGTATTTGTGTTGTCAGCTCCAAATGACTGCAGTACGTAAAACAATCCAGCCGGGACCTTTCGCCTGCTTGAACTCGGTGTGAACATGTCTCATTGCAAAGTTTACGCAATAATGTATTTCTTTTGGGAACAGAACATTTTACAGGAAATGTGTCAGAGATACGTTGTTTCAAATCGAGCTAATAATACAAATATGCTAATCAATGCACACCGGAAAAGAACATGCTGTGATGATCGGGGGGGGGGGGGGACTTGAAGGCAACAATGCAGGGAAATTAAATGAAGAATTAGGTTGATTTTCTGTCTTATTCATTTGACTATATTTAACATTTATGGACATTGGTCATCTGCTCTACCAATACCAATGTGTTTTTATCAATGCATTTCTTGTGTTCGAACTGTTTTATTCTCTGATCTGTGTTGGCAATTTCAACGGTTTTGTAAAGTCCTCTGAGAAAACTGCTGTTGTGATTTAGGGCTATACAAGAATACATTGAATTGAATTTATTGGGGCCTTATCTTTTCTACGGTCACTTAAGCAAATACTGTACAGTTTTCATTTAGTTCCATTATATTCCAAGAATCATAGCGGTAGGTAGGTCAAGTATTTCAAAGCGATTACAACTCTATAATGGGAGTAAACAAAATGACTGCTCCTATTCAAATCGATGGCAGTCTGAGTAATCCAATAACCGATAACCCTTTTCCATCAAGCTGGGCAAAGCTGGCTCTCAATTCACAAATAATTCTCATAAACAACGACGAGCAAAGATGATGGACCAGCAACAAAGGGAGAGGAGCTCAGGTACACATAGACACAGAGAGACAAAGGTGAAACACATTAGGGCGGGGCAAGACAGGGGAACAGGACAGGAAGTAAAACTAAAACCAGAGAAAACTGTCAAAATAAATTACAAAATAACACCAAATCCACACCATGACAATCATTTTCACACCAAAACTTCAAACCAGACATTGTATTTCCTTATGCTCCGTTATGCAATCCAACATGGACTCCAACTGAACATTTTCCCCTCTAATATAAGGCAACCTTTTCCTGAATCCTTCTTTTTCCACTGTTTTTTTTATTATTTTTTTTTTTTTAAACCACTTCCAGCCACTGTTTAAAAATGTGTTCCTGACTCCTGCCTTGCATCATAGAAGACTTTTAGCTGTAGCTGTAGCTCCCATGTTGTAAAAAGCCATTAGTTTTTACAGTGCAGCTTCTGGGTGGTAGGCAAGTCCCCCAGTGGTCTTACGAGAAGCGTGGTCCTGCTCTGGGTTTTTAAGGCAAAGCACCTGGATCATTAAGTCTCTATAACCAGTCCAGGTGGAAAGCAGGTCTCCTCTCTCACATGATACGGGTCTAATGGGTACACAAACACGCGGCGGGGACAGCGGTTATCGGCTAATTTCATCAGGCCTGATCACTGTATCGCCGTAACGACATTAGCGATGATGCACACTATAGTATATCAAGTTTTAGCCAGCGCTCAGTCACATTTGTGGCAGGGACGCGACATGCAGCGCTCGGCCCCAAATTCAATAAAAGAACTTACGTCACGGCCCATTAAGGAGGACAGTTTAAAATAGTGGAAGAGCAATGGACTCGAGTCACACCATACGGCAATATCGTCTAAAGGAGGTGCTGCTGCTGCTGCTGCTGCTGCTGCTGCTGCTTAGTGGACTTTTGGGAGAGCACATAGAGAAGTTGTTCTGGGGATGGCTTCAATAAAAATATGGGTTGACAAGATAAGGAAGAGCAAGACTTTGAGCTTCATGTCAGGTTTTTAATGATTGTTTGTCCGTTTGGTTTTATTTTATGTTTAAATCTGTTATCAATAGCTTTTTATGATAACAAAATTAGCTTAATGGCTGCATTCCACTTCTAAATTCTCAATATTTCCAAGTTTACACTGCTTTCCTAATATGACTTCAGATTGACTTATTTCCGATGTGTTTATATATTTATTCATTGATTTATTTGATAGGGACACGTGTTCACAATCAACATGTGAACTACAATGTTTATAGCCAAGGCTCATTTGCAATGTCTTTTTTTTAGAATATGTCTCGATTCATTTTATTTTGTAACCTTGATTATTTCATTTCACTTTCTAACTAGTTACTGTACAAGAACAAGTTGCTGGAATTAAGCCAATGGAGTAATTAAGAGGAGTTGGTTCATTAAGTAAATGGGAATGAGAAACTACTAAAATTCAAATGCTTTTCTTTCATCTGTTCTATTTGTACCTTTTTTAACACATGGAGATGAAATATACGAGAGTGACCTGGCTTTAACACCCAAACCAATATAATAATGTCATTGACCTGTTTTACATTGCATTACTCCATCCTAAACAGAATTGTGCTTGTGCTTTTGTAACTATAATTCATAAGTATAGAAGTATCCACCTCCAGGCCTTTCTGCACAGAGTTTTCATGTTCTGACCGTATTTCTGGTTTCCTCCAGGTGCTCCGGTTTCCTCTACTTCCTCTAAAACATGGACATAATCAGAATCCTTTTATTGTCATGTGAGTAACAGGAAGTCACAAACTAGGAAGTTGCTTTGGCTCTCGGTGCAAACAAGTTAAAGCAGAAAACAAATATACTGTACAAATACAGAAAGTACAATAGGTCTGGCCTCACGTACTGCGACCCGCTCCCATCTCAGTGTGGAGTGAGAAGACAAATGCCCACAACAATTGTAAAAGCGCTTTGTAACTCTGGCTATATGAATCAAGATTACTTACTTACTGTTTGTTAAAAAGTTCTCAGACCGATTCACAAAACGCTGTCCAATCGTAGTGGCCATTTTTCCTCTCACCCCACACAGTGATGGAAGCAAGCTCACCATATACAGCGGGCACTTCCTGGGCCTATTGTACATGTTTTTAGTGGTATAGGGGAAACTGGAGACATAGGAAGAACATGCAAACTTCACACAGAAAGGTCCTGCTTGGAGGTGGAATCAAACCCAGGACTTCTTACTGTGAATCACAAGCACTAACCACCACCACGCCGCATACATTGTACAATCTAAAACCACCTAATCTCTTCTCTCTTCTGCGGCACGTTGACTTTTGCACGTTGCCACTTCCCGCTCAGCTGCCTTGATTTTGGGCTGGGTCTAGACTCCGCCTAATGGTCTGGGGAATGCGCTCGGAAAGTGCTAATCGCGCCTGTATCGCATGTTTGTCGGCTGGCGCTGCGCTCTAATTGGTCCGTTGCTCCTAATTACTGCGGTGATTGTTTATCCACGCTGTTTGCCCTGGATCCTTATCGGGGCCTCCAGTGTTTTAACCGTGGCTGTAGAATGTGAGGAGGTGGGGGTCAGAGGAAGTCTTGT